CACATAACATGAAACCTAAACTAGGGAACAATCTTAGCAGAGCCGTCTACGCACAACAATAGTTCAGGCGGGAGATGATGAAGACATGTATAAGGGTTTCTTTCACAGAGTTAGAGAGTTAGGACCGGAGTCTGGAAATGTTTTTGAGATGGTAGAAAGCAGATTTGGTGACAGATTTGAAATGAGCTTGGAAGGAGAGGGTGGTGTCCAAACACCCAGGTTGCAGACTTCAGTGGACGGAGAGATGGAGCAGCCGTCAATGGAGAGAAGCAGATCTCAAACCTTCCAGAGCTGCACCTTGGGAGCCACAACCATCAGCTCTGTTTTATTGCTGTTTAGAGCAGGTTTGATGACATCCAGTTTATATGTCATGTAGGCAGTTGACAATGTATTGAGGGGGGAGCTGAGTGGACGGTTTGGTGCAGAGATAGAGTTGTGTGTCATCAGCGTATGAGTCAGGGTACGGCTTCACGGGCGGTCATTCACGGGCCATGCACCCCCCAAACGAGTCACTGTGCCCCCCCCACACTTTGCCGTTTTTAGGTTTTGCTAGTGAATTGTCAACTATGTACCTCTGTCGCCTTCAATGATGGTGCCGGCCGTCAGCGAACCGAGCCAGAGCCGAGACGACCGACCGTTCTGTGATTCTCCAGATTCTACAGATGGCCAGTCTGCCCTTGGTATAGATAGTTATCTTAAGTTATCTCAGTGGGTCTCAAACGGTTTGGTTACCATTTATGTAAACAAGTATTTCCGAGGAAAACAAGAGACTTTACAGCATGTTTTGAAATTGAAGTTGCGTTGGTGTTTGTGTGTTGGTTGTTGACGGCAGTGTGTGCCCCCCCGTGGTAAATGATTGCCCCCCCATTCGATTTGTTCTAGAGCCGACCCTAGTATGGGTGAAAGATGAGACCATGGTGGCGGATGATTTGATCAAGTGGGAGCATGTAGATGGTGAAAATAAGGGAGCCAAGCACAGAGCCTTGAGGTACTGTCACGGTTTTAAGTTTGTGTGTCTGGTAGTGGGTGTTTTTCTGTTCTCCTTGTCATGTTTTCCTCCCTATGTATTGTCTGGTCTTTCTCCCCATGTTTTTCTGTCTGTCGTTAGTTTCCCTGGTGTGTCTAATTTCCTGATTGTTTTCACCTGTCATCCCTTCTGTGTCTCCTGTGCTCATCAGCGTCAGCCCCTGATTGTTCCCACCTGTGTCTTGTTACCCTGTGTTTAAATTCCCCTGTCTCCCAGTGTTCAGTGTCAGTTTGTTTTCGTCTCTTGTCATGTTCAGGTCTATGTGCTATTGTCTCTTGCTATGGTCAGGTCTATGCTCCTTATGCTCTTGAAAAGTTTGATTCCTCACTACGTGAGCGCTTTCTTTTTTTTGTTCTCTATTTTTGTCATCTCGGCTAGAGATTTGATAGTTACCTTTTTTTGTTGTTCAATGCTGTATTTGGAAAATAAAGTATCTTACAAATACTTTACCTCTGTCTCCCGGGTCGTGCAATTAGGGTCCTACATCCTAAGTGTCTGAGTTCGAAACAGGTACTCCTTGGTTGACTGGGGCTGATGGGGAACGGCAGTCACTGATGGTCACAAAGTGTTTCCGGTTCGAAAGGTAGCACGATGCAATGCTGACCTTTTCTTTAAAAGCCAACTCTTTCTTAAAATAAAGATAAGATAAGATGGAAAAAAGTGAGATTCTTCACATGTAGTTTATTATACATGATGATGAACATTTATACATGAACACATTTTTTTTTTTAACAACTTTATTTTTCAGTTTATACATGAACACATTTGATGATTGTCTCATTGTAGGTCAGCTTTTCCTTGAAAGAAATTCTAGTCTGGGTGGTGTTTTGTCAGGTGGCAGAAGTACCAATCTCTATCAAACAGAACCTAAACATCACACAGATATATATATTTCATAAAAAAAGTTCCAAATAAAGGGGCAGACGTTGTTGCAACAATAGTTACAGCTGTGCAAAAATATTTTCTTTTTCATTTTAGACTCAATTCGTATAGCAATCGTGGTGAGGATCAAGGGTGGGACAGCCGAGAAAACTGCACCATGAACTGGTCACCATGAGCAAAGAGAATCCATATGAAATAAGTTCTCGTACTCATAGCATAGGACTAAGATAACGTTTTGAGGAACATAACCAAGTGGTACAATTATGTCCGAAAGGGCTGAAAAACGTTTGCGTGGGGAAATGATCTGTTCTCAACATTTCATGTGCCAAAACAGCAGACAGGAAGTAGTATGATCCTTTGCCGCTGTTACTGTACCATTGTGTTTACCACAATGTAACCAAACTTGAATGGCAAAGTTTACTTTCACCTTTCATTCCCACACTCTGTATCTTCCACAGACATAATCCTACAAAAACCTGTTGCTTGGAGCAGTTTCCTGTTGTGATTATCTAAATCTTTCAAATTGGCACCATCCCATAAACCCTCGAGCACTTCCATTCACACCCAATTATTTCTGTTATAGCTGGGGATTTCTATAACGCCAAGCCCTTTGTTTTCTGGGAGCATTTTATAGGACTTTGCTAACGTTTTGAGTAACTTTATCAAGGTGTACCATACTGCCCAAAAAGACGGAAGAATACTTAGTGTAATTCGTTTTTTTTAAGGTTTCAAATATTTGCATGGGAAAATTACCTGACCTCCACCACTCGAGTGAGAATATGTCAGCCACAAGAACAAACAGGAAGTGTGTTGATCTTCTGCAGCATTTAGTTCAGATTTAGCATTCAGTGTTCTTTACCACAATGTGCCAGCATGACTCGAGTGGTCAATTACACTTCCACTTTCGTGTTCAAACTTTGGTTCCCTGTAGATGAAGTTGCCCAGGTCTTGGAAATATGCTTCTTTTTTTGGTAAACAAAACCTAAAATGTGTAATGTAATGAAACATTTAGAACGACAATAGCAATGACTTTTATAAACAAGTGAATCCAGCTGTTTCAGTTCCCTCTTACACAGTAAGCCACACTATTCTGCAGGACACTCAGATGTTGTTCTGTTGGCAGATCACCGTGGTATACGATGCTGCACGGCATACCAACTGTAAGAGAGGAGCTTTTTACAATTTATTTTTTGTAGGCCTTTGTGTTTAAAACAGGACTTCAATAGTTGCATTCAGACTGAGAGCCACGTGAATTTTAGCTTTCAAGCAAATTTCAATAATGAACCTTTTCTTTGTCCTTAAAGGCCAACTGTACTCTAGCAACTGTACAACGTAAGCTGTTAGCTCGCCAGCCACCATGAATGTGTGTGTAATGTAATGTCTAGTGTGTGTGTATTGTAATGTGTAATGTGTGTTAATCATGTATGACGTTAGCCCTTTTAGTTTAGCCTGTTAGCACGCCAGCATTTGATTATTAGCACTAAATAAATCAGCCTACATCTGAAGCAGATAATAATTTGCAGGTAAAATGTGGACTTGATGGTGGCGTTGAATAAAAACTTGGGGTCAAAACATATGATCACCAAAGTGGTGAACCGATCAGCTATCACACTGACATTGCTGCTCAGTGAGCTGCTAATCCTAACCTACTGTAACATGAATCACTTTTTTCATTTATATTGAAACAATTTTCTCTCCTTACAAACGCATCTCGTTGTCCCATTATGAGCAATTCTTCCTCATTGGGCTCAGCACATTACACATGCGTACAAATGTACAGAGTTACGTTTATTGTTTAGAAAAATGTATATATTGGTGGGAAAAGGTTTGAATTGAGTAACTGTGTGTGATAATTGCATGATGTTTGCTGTAGAGGACAGGATAGGAACAGTTTTCTCTGTGACTTCAAATGTATTCATATATATATACGTAGGAGAATATTTTTATAAAAATACATATTCCACTGCACAACAATCCAATTGTTGTGCTACAAAAATACTTTCATATCAAATTATAATAATAAAAACTATGAAAGGCAGCCACAGAATGATTTAATGGAAGTGGGAATAGGACTAAGTAAAGCTATCAGTACCATGATGAAATAAAACTGCATTCAGAAGTTGCAAGTAAGAAGTATTAAATGTCAAATATATTTTTCACATTCTTTTTTTTACCGTTGCATCAGTACTCATGTGTTATACTGTAAATATCTAATGTATCCACGTATTGCTGGTGTAAAACCCTTCAAGAAATTGTTCAACATTGAGAAAAACTATTTGCTGAAATGTAAAGAGCCAGGCTAGTTATCCCACCCACCCCCAGTATGCTAAGCTATGCTAAACCTGAGCTCAGTCCCTTTGCTTCATAGAAAAAGTTTAATATTTTTGAAAATACAAGGATTTGACATTCTTTCAGTGTTAGAGATGTTCAGATAGATATCAATCTCATGTCTGTGTGTCAAATACAGAGCTGGAGTGAGGATGTGGTTAGCCTAGCTTAGCATGAAGACTAGAAGGAGCGGAAACAGCTAGCCTGACTTTGTCCAGAGTTAAAAAATACTCCTACCTACTTAACATCTTGTATCTTAGACGAACATGCTAAGAAGAAAACGTCTGGGTTTAAGTTCAATAATGTGCTGGAATTATCTGTTCAGCAGCAGATCTCTATGGATAGTGTGCAGACAGAAATAACTGAGTTATACTCTATTCTTTGCCAGAAAATGTTTCAAGCTAGTAACTTAACCACTAAAACGACAAATCAATTTTTTTTATATTTCGATGTCTAGAAGGATTAAACATGTGTCTAGAAGGATTAAACAGGCCACTGTTAGCGTTAGCATCCCCTTCTTTTCAGTCTTTATTCTAAGCTAGGCTAACCATTTCCTGACTCCGGCTCCATACTCCACACATAAACATAAGATTGATATTAATCTTATCGTGACTCTCTGAATAAAATAGGCATATTTCTCTAAGGCACAGACGTGATACTGATTACATTCTCTGTTAACTCTCGGACAGAAAGCAAATAGGAGTATTTCCTAAAATGTTGAATAATTACTTTAAAAGGGAGAAAAATAACATGAAAGAAAACACAGACTCAGCACTTGTCTTTACTTAAAATACAACAAATGGAGAAGTTTGTTCATGTTCCGCCTTCTGGAGGTTCAAAGCATTACCAATCAAGCCATGATATAGCAATCACTACAAATCAAGCACAGAGATTTAATGTACAGAGATTTGCATCATTGGGTGCATATTAAAATAAAATCTTTGAAGCCTACACATTTCTATCATGACACTGGCTAGTTTAAACTCTAGCAGTGCATCTTGTTTATAATTTGCATTGAACAAAATTAGTAACTAGTAACTACAGGTTAATGTAGTGGAGTAAAAAGGACAATATTTCCTATGAAATGTAAAAGTATAAGGTCTCACAAAATGGAATTACTCACAAAAAGTACTTCAAAACTAGTATACAAAATGTGCATGGTTACCTTTTTATCTTATCTCTTGTCTTTTATCTCTCGCTTAACCAACCCAAACCTGCATTACTTCCCACAACACAGCCATTTGAACCATTGATTGTGTTATTCTGTTGTTAAAATAAAGTCTTATTTTCAATGCCACTGTATTGATGTACAAACTGCTCTACATGTCATTTGTCAAATGATTCAGCTTTGGAGGAACATTATTAAACTGTCAGAAAAAGGCTTATCTCACATGACACTGGATGATTGTTTCTGGACATCAAGATGTTCCACAAGAACAAGAAAGTGATTTTCACTGAAGTTGATACTACTTTACAGGAGAAGGGAGCCTATCTATTATTGCCAAAGACAACTAAAGTGCATGCTGCTTTACCCACTAACTCAATGGCTTGTACAATAAGTATAATACATACATTAATATAACACGTAACCCTATAGTACTTATAGGGCTTGCAGCACAATGTGTTAGCATTTTATTAACTTGTATACAAAGTATACAAGTATCAAATTTTTCAAACAAAGTGCTATGAGTAACCAAAATTACTTCCAATAATTAAATTCAGCATCACATTCAACCAATGATGACATCACTTTTTACTTTTGTTTGTGTGCTATAGGCATTACTTTTCAACGTAAGCTCATGTTGTGAATTAAAACGTTTGTTGCTTTTTCTTAAATTTCATAGGCTAATAGACAAACATGGAAGTTTAGCAGTAATGAAATTTGGCACTTCTTCGAGCTTCCCTCAAGCACACAATGCATCCACATCCAGTGTAGAAATATTATGCATAAAATCCAGTGCATTAACTGAACATATTGTATGTTCAGTTATTTATGTTCAGCTTACTATATTATAAGTAAGCATGGCATCCAGCACTCTGGAAAACTGGAAACTCATCTGAAACTAACAAGGCTGAAGATACTTTCCCTGATTAATGGGATTTTGGGGCGCTACTGGGTTCTATAACCAACATGTTAACCCTTTTTAGCTAACCTTAATTTCCTTATAATCAAATACATCCTCTTTGTTACTATCCATGACACTTACATGCTGGTGTTGTGTGTCTATGCTAGCTGTACGTTAGCATAAACCCTTTATAAATGGTACATTGGTTAATTAGACAGTAGTATGCAGTTTTTCTTGCTGTTACTTTGGTTATGGGTAATACATTTATTTAGTTATGCTTTATTAAGCAGTACTAAAACGAGTTTACAAAGCTTTTGGATTATGAGGTTGTGAACAATCTTTAGGGATCCTCTAACCATTCAAATGACAGCACAAATAGTTTGTTCAAATGCCAAAGTACAACCATTTTCTGGTGAGGACGTCTATTGACCATGTGTATCATGCATGACCTGTCTTGTCAGAGCGTGACAGCTGTAGCAATTACGTTGTTGCTATACAGTTTTAAAAACCTGGATATGTGGCGTTTGTTTCCCATTTCCTATCTATTCTGCTAGTTTCTTTAAACCAATATATCTTGATATAGGTCCTTTAACCTTTAAGAAGTAGTTATTCTTTTAACCTAAACCACAATATACCAAACCTTAACAGTGGTGGCAGATGAGGACACATTAAAGATATCTGCAGATCTAGGCCACTGCCTTCAAAATGGCTAGGTAACAACACTAATGTACCCAAAATCTGTACATGTGGAAAAGAAACAACAACCAAAGCCCAGAAGATATGTGGCCAAGCGCTAAAGAGCAATTTAAAAACCATAAAATGCGCTGTACTCCAAATGGGGTTTTCACAATCTTGTAACCAAAATGTTTTCCATATTACTGACCCATAAAGCATTTTATACTATTGACCATTATTAAACTATAAGTTAGAATGTATAGACCCTTAATTAAAAAAAGACAATAAATGGTATTAAAGAGGTTAATCCAAGACCTCGGTTGGCCTGTGTTAGCTAAATTGAAGGAAAGTGTTAGGCTGAATGATTTTTTCTTTTTAGTTTGCAGTATGAAGAGTTTTAATCACAGAATTTCATGAAAACCACATTTGTTGGATTTATCTCAATCGGTAGAACTCAATGGCAGAAACGTGTTTTTAATATGTGAATGCTTCAGGTTTTACACCTCGGAAGTTCGTAGGAGTCTCTTCACCTTTGGCTCTGATGTTAAATAGTGTTATATAGGCATGTACATTTAGGACTTACAGATGTAATGACCAATTTGGAACATTAACATGCAATGAAACAAACAAATGTACAGCTTCTGCCAAATTCATTTGCATGCCATTGTCAAATTGTTTGGAAGCCATAATAAAAGCATCCCAAAGATGCTTTTTTTCACATGTGATGATGACTGAGTCAACTTTATAGAATAAAGTAGCTTACATTAGAGCTATAGAAACTTTCCTCTTTGTTTTTTTTAGGAGCACAGTAGCAAAACAGTTTGTAGAATTCAAGTAAAAAAAATGACAAAACTCAAATTGGCAGCACAAATTGATTGAAACTGACCAGGCCAATTTATTGACGTTGCCATGACCCTAGCAACTTGAAGGGTAAAAAAATGGTTTGTTTGTACACAAAAATACTTCAAGCAATACAATTCAAACTTTAAGGCCTCAGTATGCTTCAAAGAAACGTATTTTCTAAGTGTCTAGAAGCCCGGGGATCACGGGGAATGTAAAACGTTATCTTTACGATTACTAAAAAGAGAGGCCATGATGGCAGACTTTATAGTGGTCATTTATAACAGGTATAAAAATGTTCCTCCTACATCCTACTTCCTTTGAAGCATACCAAGGCCTTTAGATAGAAGAAAGTTTTTACATGAGTTTGTTGACTTGTAGCTGGGGAAGAAAGCCTACAAAAATGCCCCCTACCCCCCCTTTGAAGAATATAATATCAGGACTCAAGAACGCATAGCATGCTGAAATGGTGCTAAAAGTGAAGTGGTGGTAGAGCACATTAAGTGAACATTGAAAATAGAATGTTTTATTTTTTTGAAAAGGTGAGGTGATCAGTGATGTGTTGACAGGTTCTCAGACGGCTTATTACAGTACCTACAAATGAGGCTTCATAAGCTTTTTGGCCGTTTAAGTGTTAACATTAAGTCTTCATTCTCACAAACTCCAGTGGCTTTCCAGCAAAACGTACCGTATATACATGTATTACATATTATTATGACAAGACAACAACAAATAAATGTATGAGTATATTTATAATAATCTGTCAAAGGATAATCCTACTTGCTATGTTAGGGTTATGTGGAATTTAACAGAGGGTGTATTTGATTGTGGGGAAAACATCTAGCTAATTCTACAGAGTTTCAAAGATTACACAGCTGGTTAACTATACTAAGGGTATGAGATGTGTGTATGTTTGTGTGTTGGGGATGGAGAAGGGCTGCATATGTACATTTCTTCATCACTGCATAAAGGCTTTTCAAATCTTTATCTTCCTAGACATCTTCATACAGAAGCACACAAGGCAGTAGAGGACATGGGTTAAGATGATTGTTATTTCCTTAAAATCAAAAGAAAGATGAACACGCTTTGATTTTGTGTGACAACAAAATGAATGGAACCTGCCAAACTGATTTCTCATGATTGTTTTGAGTTGGGGCTGACAACTTGCCAACAAGAAACCTGAGTATTAGGGTCTTGTGGACAAGTGAGGATTACATGGATTTACTTAACTGTTTTGGTTAAGATGGACCTGAGCCTGGAAGTCACAAACTGGATTTACCAATCAATTAACATTCTGGCCTTCACCTAATATCATGATGGTGAGTAGTCACTTTGGGTTAAGACAGAGTTACTACCTTAAGTAAAGATCTCGTCTTGGTGTGTGATGTGATGAAATGATATCAACAGACAAACTGTTGTGTGCCAACTATTATGTGATAACTGACGGACTAACCCTAACCCGGACTGTCATAGTTGAGGCAAATCTCCTAACCCTAACCAGTCGAGCTACTTTCCAACCCTGAATGAATGGCGAAGATCGAAAGGAATGAGATTGCCGATCCAAGCAGCAAGGGTTTTCGAATCAGTTAACCCGGTTCACCCTGCCTCAAGGACACCTTTCTTTATTCGGGCATGTTTCATTGGTTGGAGACACCAGGTCAGACAAAGGTCATTCTGATTGGAATACAAAGGTTATCACATCAGGGAATACCTTGGAATCCCACAGGATTCCCCAGTGGATGCAGCTAATGGAAGGTATAATTGGACTACCATGCTTAGACCGGAACCAGGATGAATAAATGGAAATGATCAGCTCACACACTAACTAAACTGAAAACTAACTGGTTCCTACCACTGGGATACCATCTCTAGCATTTTAAATGAAACTAGTCTAATTGTCTATTCAAAAGGGAATGCTATACATAATTTACGAATGTTATAGGGAAATATTTGACTAATTTTAATTTTTTAGGGAAATCCAGAATATGAGCTACCAAATCAGAATGTTAGCAAAGGGGTTTTGTCTTAAAGTAGGGCCTCTTTTGGCATCAATATCAATATCATATCCGAATCAGAATCATGAGAACGCAGTTTGGGTTAAGACCAAATAAGGTGATCACAAATTAACAGAGATTTTTATAAATAAATTACAAAAAATAGTTTGTGATCACGTGAAAACAATAATCACACCCATGGTTTCTATCCTTCTATATCCTCACTTCACTCCTGGCAGCAAATGATAGGGCATCTGTATAGATGAGTGGTGACTTTCTTTGGTTACAAACATTACGGTAAAAATATATTATTCCTCCTATTTTGCTATGCTCCCTGGAAAATGTCGAAGATTATGGCCACTCTACTAGCCTTTGCTAAAATATTAATCTTTAATGGATTTTTCCTTCCATACTTTTTGACGATTTGACTCATTATTAGTCTTAGAAAAAGGCCCAGTCATTCTTACACCTATAAAATTGTATACCAGAAGAAGAAAGGGGTCGAAGTCAAGAAAATAGTTGGTCAAGGCAACAGGGAGGTAAAATAGTTGTATACAAACTGAGATGTTTTCCCAACAAGATTCTTCTCTCTGGCTCAGATTAATGGTCGGGTGTCCCACCCTCTAAATGGGCATTTAAAGGGAGATTTAGAGAGTGTAACAAGTGTGTGTTTTCTGCGCTATGGATGCTTGATGTCATTTTAATGCCAAAGGGGCAATTAAGAAAATGTAAAAAAAAATTGTTAAAACATTTAAGGCCTGTTAAGATGCCTTTATAAAGTTGAAAATGTAGTGGCTAATGGACCTCCAACAAGTTCATTATTTTCTCTATGGCGACACACTGGTATTGTGCTTATGGCCACTCACCAAAAAAACAAGTCTACAGCAATGCTAGCAGCTTTGCAAGGCTGCACAGGCACAGCGATGCTTTGAGCTAAATGCTAATGTTAGCATGCTAATATGCTCCCAATGACAGTTAACATGATCATTTTTAGCAGGTATAATATATAACATGTATCCCATTTCAGTGAGGCATGTTATCATGCTAATTTAGCATTTGCTAATAAATAAAAAATAAGAGCTGAGGCTGATGGGAATGTAATTAGTTTTGTAGGTATTTGAGTTTTAAACAAAATGAAAATGGTGATCTGATTTCATCTGCCAGATGAAAAGTCATTCAAAGTTATTACAATCTATCCCGAGGAGACATGCATGTGTGTATTAAAAGTTGGACTAAATTGTCGGCCAATCTGTGTGAAATGCTGAAATATTTCACTGCATAAGTAAAAACCGTATGCCTACTGGTGCCGTTATGAAAAGTCAAGGGATTATAGAATTAGTTAACTCTACCACATTTCAGGGCGATTCATTTAGCAGGCTTATTTGTCAAGATACTTCTGTCTGTAAAAAAGTGATGGACCAACATACAAACCAACATAGCCATGCAGTTAGCATTTCAATAGACACGTGCCAATTGTTCAGAAATGAGTACTGTCCTTGGCCGTGGTATAAACCACAATATTCTGTCTAGACAATAAACTAGAGATTAGTGTGCTCTAACATGTTTGAAGTTGTCCTAACTCTGGTCTTACTCTATAGTCACAGACGACAGTATTTTTCAAAAGGCGTTTGCCAGCTAAAGATGGTTAAAACATCAGTAGATTCCTGTTAATTCAAACAGTTGTTTCAGTTCTCCTCCTCCCTGCATTAGCTGAAGCCAGTAGTAAACTGCACAGTAGTCTGTTAAAAAATGTCAAGCATTAGCATTTTGTTTGGCATTATGCTGGCAAACTACAAAAGTAAGCCTCAACTTCACTTACAGCTTCAGAAGTTATTAATTTCTGTTAAAATTTTATTGCAGCATTTAAGTGAAAATATTAAATTAGTAACATATATATACAGTAAAAGATTTAAAACAATAAAAAAGACAAAAGCTAAGACATAAGCTTGAACATGACGAAGGATAAATTGGCAGCCGTTTTGTGACTGAGCACGTTCATTTAAAATGACAGGCTTTGTTTGTTGTTTCTGCAGAGATTTGTTGTTGTTGTTTACAAGGAATAGCCTACTAGTTGAAAGATGCACCAATCAACAAAAGAGTGATGGGATCTGTTAATTACCCCTATTTGATCCTGAACTATTCCTTTCATTCTAACGTAGACTCAACCTGTCCGTAGTTTTAATAAAGTGCCTTCAGAGTTGTGCAGATTTAGTAACCCAACTCAGCTCGTGTACATATTTAAAGGTTAATATTTACAGAAAGAACATAGATGAAAGGTTTGAGATGCCCTAAGGGTAATAGATTTGTTTTCTTATAAAAGAATAGCATTTGCATGTTGACTGTTTTTAGGTTTCAGGGTACATCACTGCTACCGGTGTGAGAAAGCCTTCCCAAGCTCATCACTCTTATTATACCTTCCCCAGTCATATGACATACAGAGGGTGGACATATTAATAAAAGCCCCTGTAATCATAGTCAGGATAAACTAATAAAGTAATGATTCAACTCCATATTTAAATGTGAGGATTGAGTTTGTAGTGTTGTTGCTTTGGACTGCATCAGTTTCCAATCATTGGATTGTATACATTTAAGCAATGTGTTGGGCCAAACACCCGCCCAATAATCATCTTTCAATTCAAATTGTGTTTGACTACTCTTGGATGCCCTTTAAATTGGGTTGAATAAGAAAAAAAATGTATTTATGCAATTGAAGGTGTTATTTGGACCCATGGAAACATCTACTGTTAATGTTTAAGCCCCTTCTCTTTTTTGGTCACAAAGTATCAACCACACCTCAAAACTATAAGGCCTTACAAATTGTACCTAAAAATATGAGGTTTTATCAACACCTCAAACAACAATTGAATATCATAGCCTTTACAAATGTATTTGTAACAGACTTATTGTATCTGATTACTTCATGTTATTTCATGCCCACCCTCTGTATATATTTAGGTATCGTCAAATGAAACTGCGCTACCAGCAAAAACTTGTTTTGTTTTGTAGAGCCTACATTTTGTTTGCCTGGTTTCTACCTCCTCAATACAAAGGTTTTTTTTGTTTGTGTAATTGAGTTGTGTCCACTCCTTGTTGTTTTGCCCCTTGTCCTTATTCCTTTCTGGCTCCAACGTCTCCTACTCCTCTCCATCCACCTCCCGTAGCTAGATGACGTCTGACTCCACCACGCATTGCTCGGTGTACTCCTTCACCAGCTCCACGTTCAAGATGTTGCGGCAGAATTCCATCATGGGCTTCCAGAGTGGCGGGTCCAGGAACATCTGGCACATCACGTGACCCTTCAGAGTGGCAGTGTGGCGCTGCAGGTGGCACAGGAACTGCTGCCGGACATGATCCAGGTCCTTACCGAACATGTCAATGTTCAGGTAATACCTGTTTTAAAAGAAGTGTGGTCAATTGAGTGAAAATAATTTCTTGTTCTAAAATAACTGGAAATCTTAACCCTCCTGTCGTGTCTGTTTCTCCCCCCTCACTTTGGTGTTCCCGGGAAAATGTGACCGTTCTGTAACTTTAACTTCTCTTACATTGAAACAAGAACCATTCAAAATCACCACATTTTATTTAACACCATTTTAAGATGTAAACAATGTCTCAGACTTCTAGTTTACATTAATGGTTGTGTACTATCTGATGAACAGTCTAGAGTTACCCATTAATTTCCTATGGTGGTCATTTTTGACTGGGAACACCATCATTGTTACAAAGTTGACTAAACCACTCAAAATTCAAAGAAAGTGATGATCAGCAGCTTTATATGTTCAAATGCCGACTGTGGAGGATATCATAAGGCCTGGAGGCAATCAAATATAAAACACAATATTTATGATTGATGAAAGAAGTAATCGGTCCAATTTGATCCGAACACCACAGGAGGGTTAAAACAACTATGTATATAACAAATTAGCAACTTTGGCAACAATGGCATTATTGTAAGACAACATCATTGCATATTTGTCTGCACAGTAGTTGTCCCTGAATTTCAATGATTATAATAAGAAAGAAAGAAGAGTTACCAGTCATCTCCAATGGGCACCCTGAAAGGGAATGTACAGAGGCTGGCCACAGTAGGGTTGGCCACATCATCGACCATCCAGTCAATGTCCTTTTTCAGTACAATAGCCATGTTACTGGGTAGAAGCTTGAATGGCTGCCAATCTTGAATGATGGTGGCGTTAGGAAGGACCCCATGCATCCGATCAGAGGTCAGATACAGCTGGCGGATGGCTGTATTGTCGAGACGCACTGGAGGAGGTTTGAAGGAGGTGGACAAAGAAGATTGAATATCTCCAAGACCAAGATCAGACAGACGCAGCTTGAGTTCTTCAGCCCTGAAGCGCACCAGGAGAATACCCTATAGAGAAGAAAGCCAATGCAGGAGCTGACCATGGACTATATCGTATATATTTACATCAATAGTAAAACCAACTGACTTAAATTGAGGCTTATAAAGCACAGGCCAATACATAGAAAGGCTTGTTGCTTGTACCTGCTTGGTTATGAGGCGATATTTCTGGAAATCCTTGGGTCCGAGCTGATCGTCACGGGTCAAGCGGGTTACTTTGACATCAGGGAACTTGGATTTGACCAGATCAGAGCAAAAGCGCAGCAGAACCCCAGCCACACCCTTACCCCTTTCCTGAGGGGCGACACGTAGACCTTCCACCAGCATCGTCTCCCCATCGTCAATCACAACCACTGACTCCAGAGCAATCTGTTGAGTAGAAGAAGAACATTCAACGTTCAATGTCATTGAGTCGGATAAGACGTAAACACAGAAAGAGGTCTCCCAAAATACTCAAAACTGGTTTAGTATGCAGTGTAGCATAAAGTATCTACTATCAATTGAAAGTGCCACCAAAGAGCTCAAAGTATAGTTTCTAGCCAAACAACATGTCAGCATCCGTGCTTGGCGTGTACAGGTTACGATTTAAAATTCAGTAATTATATAATAGTTCCTAACCCAAGTAACTCCCCTTTACTACGAGGTTTGTCTCGATTGCTGTCAAGTTAGAGGGGTTAATCATATTGGTGGGCTCTACTTTAGAGAGACTGGTCTGGGACATGTTAGCATGGCAGTTAGTCTCCAAATTAGGACAAAGGTGACTCCCAGTAATTCGCAATGGTTTCATTTGAATACTGTGTGTTCTTAGATAGTTGGAGAACAGAAAGTTCCCAGTAGGTTTCTGCTTATTAAACGCAGTTGCTGAGAAATGAAACCAACGAGGAATGGCCTTAATTATGACAAATGTAATTTTTGACTTTTTAATTTTAAGTCATGAAACTCTTACTTTTGCACAGAGAAATGTCTTGGGTAGAAAACTATTTTCCGACTTCTGTAATTCAAGAATTCAGCTTTTTCTACATCCATAAGTTGTTATATTACTTATGATCAAATATTTGTATTGAACTTACCACTTTTCCCTGTTTGCGGGCCAATATGACGGTGCGGTTGGTCTCCTGCAGCCAGTCGGTGTATCTTGTGGGCAGGTAGTCGAGGCCTCCATAGATACCCTGGCTCATGCCCATGATCTCATCAAAGTCCTCCTCAGTGGCAACAGAAAACTGAAGGCCTGCCTGGGACAGGGCCTCTGGGAGCTGGAGCATGCTCAGGCTGGTGTCAATCTTCATCTTGAAATAACTGATGAGATACAAAGTGGGGGAGAGGTTATTATGGATTGTAGTTATTTTCTTAAACAAGGATTTGGAAGAGCCCAAGAGCTGTCCTAACCCTGGTGGAACATTCTGGATGGGGCTAAACAAGCTTCTTCAAAATGTGCCTGCTTGGATAACAGGTGTTTGTGTCAAATCCACACCAAATGAGACTCTTGCTCAATTATAACACATTCAGTAATGTTTCTGCCACTTTAAATAGATGTAATGGAAAGAATAATCACATTAGTAACTCCCGGCACAAATGCTTTACGTGTTATGGCTTGCACAGGGTAAGTGAAACATACTGTAAGCAGCCTGTGAAAGCAGAGTAATAACAGTGGTAAAACACAGACAGACAACATCTATACACATTTATTTTTTCACTTATTACATACTATAGGAATCCAATACAGTGGAAAAATAAATAGGAATTAAATCGATGAGATTGGTGTAGGAATTGACAACTAAAAGCAAAACAATGCCAGTGAAAAACCTTTCATTAAGAGTGAACCAAACACAAATGACTGCCAGGAATGATAATGGCCAGTAACTGAATGAGATTGAGCAACAGATGAGTAGAAAGCAGAATAAAGATTTATACAGGAAAACATGAATGGATGGATCAGAAGGATAGAGAAATGCAAGAAATAGGGAAATAAATTACAGATGAAACCAACTGGAGAGGCAGAAACAGATCAATCACAACAGACACAGGAAGTGTAAGATTGTCACCTATCTTGATCCCTATGTCTTTTATGCTAAGTCTGGTAAATCCATACCCCTCAGCTCTCTAATCCCTACACTAATACCCTCTCCACATTGTAATCACTGGTATTTGTCCAGAACTTGGCTAAAGAATGTACAGAATTAAAAATACAAGATAAAATAGAGAAAGCTTTGAAGACATTTGTTTGGTCACATATATCACACAACCTTGAAGCCTACAATGCTGTTATTTCACCCAGATAAGACACATCAAGACAAAGTCAAGATCGAAGTGTTGTGGGCGCTAACCAAAAAAAATAAAATATTGAATAATATTGAAGTACACCGGTGCCAGGTGTTAAGGCTCTGCACCGAGGAAAACAAAAACAAGATGCTTGCTCTTACGAAGTTTTTTGCATTTAATTAGGTCGAGATACAAGGTATTAACACATGATGTAGTACAGTGTGATCAAATCAAATAAAACAAGCTTGTGCAAAAGAAAGACATGCAACATAAGAAGCCATATAAAAGAAACACAGTTTATTGGACATAAATTCCAAAAGCTGTCAAATTCTGAAAGCTTCTTCCGTTGATTGGATGTTTTGAATAAAACACATTTTAGTGCCGTTAGCAGTTTTGGATGGTGATTCCACCTTTCATAGTAGGCAATAGGTAAGATAACTCCTTCTTAACCTGCAATGTATGTATTTCACTGGGAGGGAATAAAGCATGGAAGATTCACAATAAGTCTCTCCAGTTTTCACCCCCGAAGTAAAGGTGCCATAACCAACCAGCTGGATAACACTGCAATGGTTCTCTGTGAACACAACACATTGTACTGTTGTACTTGATGTCACTCAAGACCAATCTGCAGTTACTGTTACCAAAGTTCAACCACAGGTCTTTGACACAAACTTGAACAGTGCAACCCATGCTCATAAACGTTAATGTTTCGAAATTGGCTGCAACATTGAGTGTTTGCATTTGCACTGATGACAAACAATTATAAATGGTAACTAGCCCTAGCTTTGATAGCTGTACAGAGATTGGAAGAATACCAACAACAAGATTGCAAATTGTAATCCAACAAACAGTTTGCTAAACTACCTCATTCAGGTCCTAGTTACTGAAGCCAAACCATTTATTGTCCATAACTGAGGCTTCTGAGACAAAAAAGACAATAGCAAACAAAGACAACCATCCAACTATCCAACTTCAGATCCCCAACCTGCCTCTCCAGAGCATAGACATACAGTATGTGTCAAAACAGAAAGGAATACCGATAAGAAAAAAGACCGAGCCAAACAGTCCAAGTATTGGCTCAATGGACAACAACAAAGCTTTCAAATAAATGCAACGCTACTCCTAACCAGAAACAGATACAGGACACCAGGCACACACTGTGGAAACACATTCACAATCAAGCCTTTGTTCTATCGTTATATGAACCCTCAAAACAACTTGTGTTTTCACATTTGGACCATCAATGGTAGCATGTACCGAGGCAGTGTACTACCCCCTCTGTTTTTCTACTTTGGCTCCTCCCCTTCCCGGTAGGTTTATTTCCAGCGGTTACTATGATAACAGGTTCAGGAAGAATGGGACCACTATCAACCTCCTCTTCTGCATAGACCTCATCTGAGCATTTGTGAACACATGGTTGCAAAAAGAGAGAGGATTACTGGGACTGAATGGCTTGAACCAACACACAGACACACAGGGCAGCTTTATTCTTAAGGATTTCACAATCACAAAGGGGGCCTAGAACAAGGAAGACATACAGAAAGAGTATGACTGTACTGAAGTGCACCACTAAAAAATGTATACAAGCAAGACACAAAAGTCATTACATATCCATCCGGGTAGTTAAGTTGAACACCCTGACACTGTGCAACCTCAGAAAATAAAACGGCCGGGGTTAAGTGACTACCAAGGCTAGTGTCCTGTGGACCACCTATGAATAAATCGTTATGGTGCCTTCCAAGGACAAACTGTTCCAGAGTGCAGCTGGTAAGGGCTATACTACAGCAAAGAAAATATGACGAGAGAGGAGACTCAAGGATATTTCCTAGTCACCAAAACGAAAGAGCAAGAGGAGTCACTAATCACCAGAATAACAGAAACCCTCTGCCGAATAGGACCCAAGGTGCGGACTGGGTCATTCAGTTGGAGAACAACCATGTAGAGAAACTATGGTGTTGAGAATGCTAGAGAAACAAAGTACTGAAACTCCAAGATGAAACCAAGATCTTTCCACCCCCAGGTTGGATGTGGTTTGGTCGGGCATAATCAAACAAAGCAACCGCAATTGGATGCCGGGCAAAATAAGCTGGCGAGATCACCTGGAAAGGGTGGTCTTGGCTTGTTTAAACTCTGGAACATTTTGCAACAAAACATGCACTTCCTTATATGAAAAACAGCTAAGACAAACATCCCTACGTTTCCGAAGTTAATCAAAGCTTACTTGATGCAAAAGAAAAAAGAGGGAGTGTTTTAAGACAAATCTTCCTTGAAATATTTCCAACCCATGTCGGAAACCTAACCTTGCTTGCACATGGTATTTGTTCACAACTTTTGAAGTGCAAATGTTACTGAATCAGAATAATGCCAACATAGTACAGGTCTGAAAATGCCCTCACTGAAGGGTTGAAGGGTTATAGAGAATACTAATTATGTTTCAAGCCTTCGTTACATTGATACCAATTTGTCCAAAGAAGTGACAAAATGATGAAAGGTTTTTGAAAATGTTATTTATTACAAGATCTAGAATCCTTAACATTTTGAAACACAACTTTTACCTCCTTTTTGAAAATACATGAGACACGTCTACAGTCTACGAGGTGGTAAAGACTGTAGACGTGTCTCATGTATTTTCAAAAAGGTGGTAAAAGTTGAGGTAAAAGCTGCAGCTCAACGTCACTAAAACTAAGGAGCTAGTGGTTGACTTCAGGAAGCAGTGTACCGCCCCAAGCCCAATTACCATCGTGGGCATGGATGTGGACATTGTGGACAGTTACAAATTCCTGGGTGTCCACATAGACAATAAACTGGACTGGAATAAAAACACTGACGCCCTATATAAGAAAGGCCAGAGTCGCCTGTATTTCCTCAGGAGACTCAGGTCCTTTAACGTCTGCAGCACTATGTTGCAGATGTGTTATGACTCGGTGGTCTCCAGTGTCATCTTCTTTGCTATAGTGTGTTGGGGCAGCAGGGTGAAGACAGCTGATGCCAACAGACTCAACAAGCTCATCAGGAGAGCAGGCTCTGTCCTGGGAGTGGATCAGGAGTCGTTGGCAGTGGTGTTGGAGGGGAGAATGTTGAAGAAACTTCTCAACATTCTGGACAACGGGTCTCACCCCCTGCATACCACACTGGTTTCCTACCGGAGCACTTTCAGCCCCAGACTGAGATCACCGAAGACCACCACACAGCGCCAGGAGGCCTTTCCTCCCAGTGGCCATCAAACTCTTTAACTCTTCACCCTTAAGTACAGGGAACTGAGAACTTCCACACCAACACTATATGTGCAATATCAATATAATTACCATCATTACAATACACTCGCTGCTATATAACTATGTGCAATATTAGTATTATAAATAATATGCTATGATAACGTGCAATTACGTAACTGCCACTACGTTTTATTTTTTTGCACTACTAAATACTGCTAATAATTGCATTGATTGCATTTTTAATTGCTCTTTTTACTGCACTTTTAGTGTACAGTTGTGCTGTTGTGCTGCTGTGGTTATTGTATTCTTGTTACTCTGGCACAACAATTTCCTTCGGGATAAATAAAGTATCTTATCTTATCTTATCTAAAACAAAATTTATAAAAATACTAGTTGTTGACGCTAAATGCAACAGGAGCACCATCACCAACAATATTTACATTCTGTATTCAATACAATAATCTACACCTTCCAGAAAATAGCCATTAGTTGGCAATGGTAGACAGCAACAAAGATTAAATGGACGATCTTCTTGAGCAGGACAACTTAATATTTGCCTGACTGGTGTAGACAGAGTGTAACTATCACAGTTTAACAAGAGAAACTGAAGAGTACATAGTGCTCTACAAAAGCTAATTCTTTAGATGTTTTGTAATAATGTCTAAAACCCCACCCAACATTCCCCTTCCTCTAACAAATGGAGGAAAATATAATTCTATGTTCTTTGTTAATTTGCTGAGATTGGTTATTTGTTGCTAATATTATTACCCTTATTTTGTATTTGAGCACTGTCTTTTTGATTCCATTGAGTGGATGTGGTTGGTCCCTTAGGGGTGTTTCTGGTTAGGAGAGGTTAAAACAGAAATGCTAGTAATATTCCAATGATCTATCAATGGGCCATGTGAGCTGTAAGGGCATTTGTAGAGAAAACACTGTCTGGTCACAGCAGACCCACACATACACACTCTGGACTCTGGTATTTTTCCATTATGCTTTGATGATTTGAGATGGGGTGTCAGGCTTAGCTGGGTACTCTGGTACTGCCAATGAGAGCGATGCTGTTTTGTTTTTGTGTTTCTCTCTCACACACTCATTGATTTACTCTTGTCCTATTAACTCTCTTATGCTTTCGCTTCCTCCCTCCCTCTCTTTGGCTGGCGGTGTACTCCAAACTAAATGTAATTTGGCACATTTGCAAGAGACTGTTGAACTGCAATCAAATACGCCACTGCAGGCGATTGCCAGTTTTATTTGCTGCAGATTGGGGTCCGGTCATTTAATGATGCCTGTGCCAGATGGGGGAGCTTTGGAATTGGGTTTGGGAAGGACACAATGGACACAATTGGTCCTTAAACCAAAGGGATGCACACAAATAAGCGCATTCCGTCACATTACTTTGTTGGTGAATTGACCGGCATACCAGTACATTTGGCACCAAATTGTACCAACAATGACAGCAAAGAAGAGCAGAGAATATAGCAATAGATTGATGATTGAGTTTCAGCAATGCCTGATAACCCCAAGTCCCAAAAGTAGCATCAAAGAAGTTATATAACGTAACTCCAAAGAGTTCAAACAATCTGATGGTTTAAGAGCAAAACTCAGAAAACTAAGAGTTACAGCAACAACCAACTGGCGATCAAAATAAAACCAGCCACAAATTCTTGATGAACTTGCCATTGTGTCTCTGTATATACACCAGATTTTATTTATTTGGAGTACGCAGCCAGCTCTCCTCTTTCACTTCTACACAGAAAAAGAACAGGTCTCTTGAACACCTCAAAATACAAAACTCAAAGGAACACACCATGTCTTCAGTAGATTATCCTGTTGGTGTGATGAGAACATGGACACCAAAATCATTCATGTCTCCAGGGTTGATCCTTGGCTCCAGTGCTTCATGCCAGTAGGCTCCATGCGGATGCAAACACATAAGCAAACCACTCTGTTGTGCGATAGCAGGCTCCATGTCATTTTTCCAACGTTGCCCCGCCTATACATGAAACAAACCATTGACACACAGGCACCAGAAAATGATTAGTTGGGGAATCAGTCAATCATAACTCTGTGCTTGTTGCCATAAAAATAAGACAGCTGTGCAATATTTGACACAGTTCAGCTTACACTGGTTGTTTCTGTTTGGGTATTAGTTATCATTAAAATACATATGCAAAGCAATTCAACCTGTTTTAGTACAGTTTGTTTAATGCATTTGCTTTGATTACATAATATCACAACCATCACCATTTCTTGACATTTGATCTTTTATAATATAATATGCTTTTATTATACACTTAGCTTAATTACTCAACAATAAGCTAAACGTAATATCCATGAACAGATAACTTAACCCTAACCCTAACTACAGTTTGCAGCAACTGTTGTAAAACATCATACTTATGTGGTTTTGGACTATATTTATGTAAATATCCTCTCATCTGTGTGACTCTTATTTGGATTTTTTAAATATTAAGGTTGATACTATATAAAGCTTGACACAGTGACTACAAAATAAGACCAGACATCCGAAATGCAAGTAGGTAAAGTTAGATGTGATGGATTAACCATTTCAATATTTTTATATGAGAAATATCTTCTTTTCTTCACTCATAAGATACATTTAATTATATTTAAATAGCTATCAAAATATAAAAATGACCGTAAAGCCATGACTGGAAGCTGACTAGATATAGTTTACTGACCTACAGTATACCTCACATGCTGTAACATTTCCACTTAACTGTGAAAAAATAAAATATGTAAATCAAAAAAGGCCTCTCAAATGACCTTGTACAATGATGCACATAGAAATCTTGTGGGCCATCCATTATATCTGCGAGATGAACGGCTCTACAGCGAAACACTATAAAGACAGAGGTCATGGTTAATGGCAACTTTTAGATGGATTGATATGGAAACAAATCTCTCCCTCCTCTGTAGGGGTGACCCACATTGTTAATGGATTTCTACAAAAGGGAAGCTTAAATATTATTATATTAAAACAAATAGCATTAAAACTCCATGGTTTGAGTTAATTATATGAATTTTTAAAATTCTAAAGGTGCCTGCATCTAATGACTGATTCACAATTGTCATATATTGCTCTTATATGGGGAATATTACATTTTATCCTTAACAATTTTCCCTAATAAGGTTACTTCCAAACATTTTAAGAAAGATATTGTTGATGGAAAAATATGCAGTAAATATAAACCTTATTTAAAATCCAAAGAAAATGACCTTACTGTATTATCTAAAAATCAATACGTTCCATGTTAAGTGAGCCAACAAATACTGGGTCTCATTGTGCAGCAGCTGTTTGATTTAGGTCATTGTGTGGAGAGAGCTATTATTATCAACTATGTTTAACATGTACATGATACAATATTGAATATATTAAACTGTTAAAATGACATGTTTTGGTTATAATATTTACCTTTATTCGTACCCTTACTTTAAGGATAAGAGTTCTTTATTATATATTGTTTGGCATTGATATATGGATATCTTTAAAGTCACTTAATCCAGGATTCAAATTACTGTTTTATTCTGGTGCCATAAAATAATTATCTCAGGCTGTTACAGTCTACCCTTCAACCCTGCCAACCCCCCAGCATTTCCCATCCCCAACCCTGCCCCCCACCACACAAACACACACACACACACACACACACACACACACACACACACACACACACACACACACACACACACACACACACACATTCAAACAAAATAAATACAAATATAGAAACTTTTATGAGAGCTCTAATTAACTTAGTTAGTCGTTGTCTGTTTGGATCAGACTACAAAAATGAACTCATCCAACATGCGAGGGTCAAAGTGGAAGACAACCAATTATACAGCTAAAGGCCGTCACGCAAGTGGCCAATGGAAAGATGATAATGTCCAAAACGTATCAGTGGGTTCCATCTTGCCATGGCAGCTGGCATGCCCAGAAGTATGTCATTTCAGTTATGAAAGACTTCAAGATAATATTGGGCTTTCTCGATGATGGGTTGGAGTTATGGAAGGCAAACGTGCAAATCACAACTTCAAGCGAGGACGAGAAAGTTTCGGTTAACCGCGAGACAAATCACAGCACCAACACATCAAATGTGGCAGATCATCTAATTTCTCTGCAAAGTGTTTTTAGTTAATTCATATTGTTAATTGTTTGCTATAGGTCAATAGTCACCAGTTGAACTTAAGGTGATCTTTTCCCTCTCTTCATCCCCAATAGTTAATAGTTAATTAAGTGTTCCAATTCTAATGGAATTTATTTATGTGCCCGCAGTTTTTGGACGTTTTTTTAAGCTGGGGCAACCAAGCCTTAATGCAGTTGTCTAAGAGGAACTGAAAGCCTAGGTAACAAACGATATTGCCAATTGCATTTGCAGGACCACAGCTGAGAGCCCAGTTATGAGCTGTGGCCCAATGAATTTATAAAAACAAATTACTTTGTTGCAGGTGGTAGGACATGTTCTACGTTCCCCATGGCGAAATGTAACAACAAATATTATAAAATAGTAGAAAGAAGAGTCAAAATTGTTTTAGTGTTTACATGTTTTAATTTTAAGAGCCTAGAATTGCTATTTTAAGTACAAAGTTGTATTGCTTATCCACAGTTCTTCTAATGCTATGGCCTCTGCGTCCATGGCTCCGTTCATCTGTCTTTCCCTGGTAACACACCTGCCACGGGCCAACGAATGGGGAAGGGATGTTTGTCCTAGGAATAAAGATAGGAAAGATATGAATTTTGACATTTGTGCGTAAATAACTCCGAAATGGGGGGAAAACACAATTAATCCATGTTGCCCTTACCTTGGCAAGAACTCTAAAGTCCGTCACCCAGCACCAGAGGAAGCATTTACCCGCTTTTAGAGGCATTACTTTGTCCGAGCTCAACCACCTCAGCACATGTGCTTAATGGTTTAAGACCTCCACCTGTACAACGCAGCATCAGTCATGAATAATGCGTCATCTGAGGCACAATGCATAATTTACAACGGGGTAGCTTACCAGTTGCTGCGGCAGCTTTCTTGTAAGCTGTAATTCACTGATGATCGTTTGACATGAACACTTTTAGCATTTCCTGACTAGAAAAGTTGAATTATTTGCGATTTATTACCAGTTTTCCATTTTATTTAAAGTTTTAAGTCATAAAGCTGGCCCTTGGCTGATCCTTTGACTTCCCCCAATTCTAAACAGAAAAATAATAGGTCTCTTGAACACCTCAAAATACAAAACTCAAAGGAACACACCATATCTTCAGTAGATTATCCTGTTGGTGTGATGAGAACGCAGTGCTTTCTTATGCACTGCGAGAGCAGCTTACTACTCTTCATTAATAGATTAGAATAAGAATAATGCAATATTTCTTTTCAGCACTGTAGCCAGGCTGACAGAGAGCCACAGCTTGATTGAGCCTTCTATTCCCATAGTACTCAGTAGTAATGAATTTATGTGCTTTTTTAACGATAAAACTGTTACTCTTAGAAACAAAATTAATGACTTCTTGCCTTTGACCAGTATAGTGTTATCAACAGCTCCCGGAAACGTAAGTTCTAATATTACACTAGATAGTAAATTAGAAGGCTTTTCAGCCATAAACCTTGAACAATTAAATTCAATGATTCTCTCTTCTAAACCATCAACGTGCATGTTAGACCCAATTCCAACTAAGCTGTTGAAGGAAGTTTTTCCATTAATTAGCACTCCTTTATTAAATATTATGAATATGTCTTTATTATCAGGCTATGTTCCACAATCATTCAAAGTAGCAGTGATAAAACCGCTTCTTAAAAAGCACAACCTCGATCCAGAGGTTTTAGCCAACTATAGACCTATTTCTAATCTTCTGTTCCTCTCAAAAATTCTTGAGAAAGCAGTCGCAAAACAGTTGTGTGATTACTTAAAAAACAATGATTTATTTGAAGATTGTCAGTCTGGGTTTAGAACACATCATAGCACAGAGACAGCTCTGGTTAAAGTCACAAATGACATTCTAAAAGCCTCAGACAAAGGACTTGTCTCTATTCTTGTCTTGCTCGATCTCAGTGCTGCATTTGATACTATCGACCATGATATCCTATTGCAAAGACTAGAGCACTTAGTTGGCATACAGGGAACTGCTTTAGACTGGTTTAGGTCCTATCTATCTGAACGCTCTCAGTTTGTACGTGTTAACGATGAATCTTCCATGCAAACCAAAGTTAGCCATGGAGTGCCACAGGGCTCAGTGCTTGGACCTATTTTGTTCACATTATATATGCTTCCGTTAGGCAATATTATAAGGAATCATTCTGTACATTTTCATTGTTATGCGGATGATACTCAACTATATTTATCAATCAAGCCTGATGAAATTAATCATCTAAATAAAATTCAAGACTGCCTCAAGGACTTAAAAAACGTTGATGACTTTAAACTTTTTGATGTTAAACACGGCCAAAACTGAAGTTATTGTACTCGGCCCAAAGAATCTACGAAACAAATTATCTAAAGATATACTAACTATGGACTCCAGTGAGACTGTAAGGAATCTTGGTGTTATATTTGATCAGGATTTATCCTTTAACACTCACATAAAATCAATTTCAAGGACCGCCTACTTCCATCTACGTAACATTGCAAAAATCAGGCATATCTTGCCTCAAAACGATGCAGAGAAACTAGTCCATACATTTGTTACTTCAAGGCTGGATTATTGTAACTCTTTATTATCAGGGTGTTCCAAGAAGTCAGTTTAGAGATATCCTCGTGGATTCATCTTCTTATTATAGACACATGCATTTCCAAACATTTGGATTACCTATGTTGCAAATGTATTATCTTTTCAATTTACACATGGCATCTATTGCACGTCTGTCCGTCCTGGGAGAGGGATCCCTCCTCTGTTGCTCTCCCTGAGGTTTCTCCCATTTTCCCCTTTAAACTGTGGGTTTTCTCCGGAAGTTTTTCCTTGTACGATGTGAGGGTCTAAGGACAGAGGGTGTCGTATTGTAATACTGATATTCTGTACAAACTGTGAAGTTGTCAGGGTTGAGTTTTGTTGTGTCTAGTTGCGGACCCCCTCCACCCACCCAGTTTGAAATGTTTGACTTTGTGTAGGGACGTCTGGAATCCGTCCCTAGAGGGGGGGGGGGGGTTATGTCAGGGTTTGAGTTTTGTTGTGTCTAGTTGTGGGGTTATTTTGCTGTTCTGTTCTCCTTGTCATGTTTTCCTCCTTGTTTCTTGTCTGGTCCTTCTCCCTGTGTTTTCCTCCCTGTCGTTAGTTTCCCTGGTGTGTCTAATTGTCTGATTGTTTTTCTCCTCCCCTGCCCGGCTGTTTCTCGTCTCGTGATTACCCCTCCCTGTATTTAGTCTTGTCTCTTCCTGTGTTCGGTGTCGGTTCATTGTTTGTTTTTTCCTGTCACCCTCCATGTTGGTCACGACCGTGTTTTGGGTATTGTATTTTCCTCGTGTTACCTCTGTGCTATCCATGCCATGCTATTTTGCTGATCGGCTTTGAATTAAAGCTCGCTTTTGTTTGTAGACCTTGGCCTTTTTTTTGTAATCTGCTTTTGGGTCCTACCTTTCCCAAACCGTAACAGAAGTCCACTGAGACAAATGTAGCATTTGTGATATTGGGCTATATAAATAAACATTGATTGATTGGTTGGTCCCTGTTCTCCTCGTGGTTTGAGATCTCCCGCGATGACGTCGTGAATTCAATTCCGCTTTATATCACCCCTAACCAAACTGCAGAAAGGATCTATCCACCATGAGAAGCAGTGATTATGGAAGCTGAAAGTGTACTGCCATCAGACTGCCACCTGGAATGAGTTTATTTTGCTAATTTTAGGGACCAACATTTGTTGGGACAGGTCCATTTCAATCACAGCAATTTAATCTACAAAGCAGTGAAAAGTACTCTGTGTGAGCACAAAATAAATTGATGCTAATGGCTTTAGTCAAGAGCAACAAACTCTTACTGATATGTGCTGGGTGCAGGCTCAAGGGCGTATGGCACTCTCAACTCTTTCCAGGACATGCCAGGGCCCTGCCTGCCAGTAGCTTTGCCGATATCTGTGTTGATAGGTAATAGATTAAGAGTGATGAATCAGCTTAGAAACAGGAAGTGCTCAAACGTTTGTGTGAGTTTATCAAATTTAGCAGTGATTCCATGTCAGCCACAGCTTGTCACAAAAAATCTTACTGATGGTGTATCTAACAAACTTAAACTAGCTTTATTAAATGTCAGGTCTCTGGCAGGAAAAACATTTTTAATCAATGATTTTATCACTGAGCACAATCTTGATTTTATGTTTTTAACGGAAACTTGGATTGAACAAAATAACAGTGCAGCTGTTCTTATCGAATCAACCCCTCCCAACTTTAGTTTTATGAGTCAGGAAAGAATGCATAAGAAAGGGGGTGGAGTTGCTATTTTGTTCAATGATTCCATTCAATGCAGGAAGACATCTTATGGGAACTTTGCTTCTTTTGAATATGTGGCCCTTCAGCTGAAATGCTCCTCTCGAGCTCTGTTCCTAAATATCTATAGACCACCCAAATACTGTGCAAGCTTTTTTGATGACTTTACTGAACTGCT